AAGTATAATTACTACTGTACTATGTTATTTTACCTGGGGTGCTTTTGTAGGTTTCCAGAAGTCGATAGCTATTGGTGTTCCTTCTATGACACACCCGTTCATTGTTGCTCTTTAACACCTTTCACAGTCTCCTTTCCTGCTTAAAAAAGAATAACATTTACATCACTGGGTCAACAGTGCAACTCCACCAGTCATGTAATCCAAGACAGAAGTTGTCCCCCAAACAACAAGTCTGCATTATTAAACCAGACAACAAACCTGACTCGAGTACTGTACCGCAGTACAGTACTTGACGGGGTGGTGTGGCGGTAAAATTAACTAATTAGTTAATTTTACCGCCACACCACCCAATTAAGTACTGTACTTCAGTGTCCTTCAGGACTCATTTTTTTTAAAACTCGGGTTGAAACACGACGAAACTCTCAAACTGAAAAGGGTGTTTAAAACTCCGGGCATTAAAATAACACCAAACAAACCTTTGTAAACCTGACCTAACGTTTCCTAACTTGTAAAATTGTTTAGAATCACTTAAAGAATTTATGAATCCTTCCTCATCTGAACACCAAAAACAACACATACTAAAAACTAAAAACACCATCACTTACTAAACACCGAAAACATGAACTAGGTAAACTTTTTATAGTTTTAGGATTTTTAAGGGGTAGGACATGCACGTAAGGTTTTCAAATGTTTATTTGATTATTTTTAGTGTTTTACCCTACACTTCCCCTCGACTTCAAAGCCCTGACACTTCAAACAAGTAACACTGTTGGTAATTTTATCTATTAAATTACTAAAAATTAAATTTTGGACGGAAATGCCATACAAGAAGTGTCATAGAACAGCCTTAACTGTGGAAAAAAAGTGTTTTTAATTAAGAAATCTAGTTGGACCCTATTATGCAAATTTACCCAAATAAATCCAACACATCTTGCATCTATCTGTGTTGATTAATGTTTTGATCTTTATATATCCACACTGGAGCGGAGATATTTAGATACAAATTCTTAATGCAAATACATAGAATAAATAGATCTATGTCATTAAACCCTTGATATTAAAGTTAACAGGTGCTTATGGTGATTTAATTTGTTTTCGCATTTCAGGCGGCCCCTCCAGAAACGCCTTCATTAAAAGACATACACGCCTTATACTATAATCTAACTCAACTAGTGTCTCTTCTATATTCCTTCCAGTCATTAGATACCAATACTAAGTTAGTACTAGAATGATAAACACAGCCGCTGCAGTTCCAATACCTTAGTATGGTGATAAAGATGACGCGACTCAGTTCTCCATAGTATTTGTGGTATATCAGCATTTACCCGATTCATACTTCAATTCATTTGGATGATGCGCCCAAAGTATTATATACAAGAGCTGTGTTTTATCCACAAAATAGCCAATCACTGATCCTCCTGGTGAAATAACCTTCCATTAACACAGGTCGTTTGTGACTCGTTACTGTATGTCAATAGACGCAATAAGCCAGTTGGTCAATGTTGGAAATATACAAAAGCATGACGACGCGTACCATTTTTATAAAGAAACCAATACTGACTAAATATTAAAAAAATTAATCTAACAACTCGATGGGAATGTAAGGAAAATGTTTTTGATCAGCTGTTTAACCTGAATAAAATTACTGGTTTGTCGGTTCGTCTCTGTTCGTGGTAATGTTCTACTGATCTGTCATTCTAAGTTAGAATGTTAGAATTTCTAACATTTGTCTTCTTAATGGACGTAAATAAAGTTTCATGAGTCGTTTAAATGTGGTCATGGGGTTTTGTCAGCAAGTTGCATAAAGTGACAAGGTATTGAGTGTTCATGTTCAAGTACTAATATTTTTTTTTTTATCCTCTTCGCCACTGATCAGCTCATTAGCCGCTTGGGCGATCGGTCACGTCTCTGATTACTAATACCTTATTTATATTCCTGCTTTTATTGTACCACCAAAACCGTTTTATCAGAAATTATTATATAGATAGATAGAAATTACCATTGTAATAAATATATTTTCCAACTAGACATGATAGTGACAGCGCTGTCCTCTTGTTCCACCTTATTACAAGTCATGTTGTACTTGACCAACACTGGAGCAGGTTCAGGTACATTCAGGAGCCGGTGCATGCCCAGTACTTGCCAACAGTGCGTAACAGAGACGTGACCGATCGCCCAAGCGGCTAACGAGCCGATCATTTGGTGAAGAGTGTGTTGATGTTAAGGCAGAGGGTGAGCAAGGAGGAGTCACCTCTATAGAGGAGGTATAGATACTCACCGAAACAGAGGAGGGAGAGCTGGAGGGGTAGATATAATCACGTAAACCAGGCAGCAGTACATTAAGGGTGGGGCAGAGGGCAGCGAGGTAACACAGGTAACGCTCCCCATAACACCGATGTAACGTCCACCACAGGGGTGGGGGAATATGGCGATATTCTGAAGTTAATAGTACCTGTCACAAGTGGGGTACCACAGTGCAGTGTAATGGGCCCGCTGTTGTTTGTTTGTTTCGTAAATGACTTGCCTGACGTTGTACACTACTCCATACAAATGTTTGCCGATGACGCCAAGTTATTTCGGGAAATTAAGAACCAAGCGGACTGTGAAGAGCTGCGGAAGGACCTCTGTGGGCTCCAGGAATGGTCGAAGAAATGGCTGCTGAGATTCAATGTCACGAAGTGTAAGAGGATGCACCTGGGGCGTACCAACGGTAAGGAGGCGTATTATATGTCCCAACGGGATGAAGAAACTGCACTAGTTGAGACTGTGTCTGAGAAGGACCTAGGTGTGTATGTTGACAATGAGCTGAAGTTCTCGGGCCATTGCGAGAAGAAGGTAAATCAGGCATATAAATTATTGGGTCTTATAAGAAGGTCGTTCAGATATCTAGACGGTCCGTCCCTCGTAACGATCTTCAGAAGTGAAGTGCTTCCCCATCTGGAGTACTGTCACCCTTTCTGATCCCCGAGATATGCTAGGGACTGTCAGTTGGTTGAAAATGTTCAAAGGAGGGCCACCAGACTGGTGCCTGCACTTCGGCACCTCAGCTACCCTGAGAGATTGGAGTGCCTGAACTTGCCTAGCTTATACTACAGACGGGCAAGGGGGGACCTAGTTGAGGTGTATAAGCATCTCTGGGGCACTACTCAGTTGAGAATCCTCACTTGGAGCTGGCGGACGCTCGCCCCACAAGGGGTCACAGCTCAAGATTGAAGAAACCGCAAGTCCAGAAAACCGAGAGGGCAAACTTTTTCGGAGTGAGGGTTGTAAACTCTTGGAACAATCTACCAGAGAGTGTTGTGACGGCACCGAGTGTGAGCTCTTTCAAGACAAGACTTGACCAACACTGGAGCGGGTTCAGGTACATTCAGGAGCCGGTGCATGCCCAGTATTTGCCAACAGTGCGTGACAGAGACGTGACCGATCGCCCGGGCGACTAGCGAGCCGAACTTTTGGTGAAGAAGATAAATGAAAAGGAAAAGTAATCAGAGACGTGACCGATCGCCCAAGAGGCTAACAAGCCGATGAGTGCTGAAGAGGATAAAAGTAAAAAAAAAGTAATAGCAAATAACTTTTACTATACAAAAATCGCCCGAGTATAATAGTATGGCATTAAAGACATATTATTGAAATATTCTGGTGAAAAAAGGGGGTCATGACTCCCCTGGATCTGCCCTTGCACCAGGTGAAGCGGAAACATTAGTTCACTCACACTCTGTAACACGACAGTAACTGACGCCACATATGTTCAAGCTACTCACACTAAATTAATAGAAAACGAATTCGAAATGTAATAATAGAAAACGCTTCCTAAACGTATCAGATTAATAGCATAACTTATCTAGAAAAAAATATTCACTCTAAAGTTATCCCAATCAATAACCTTAGACAATTTTTTTTACGGGGATTAGTCCACCCGGGCACAGGTCACTGACCCACATTAGATCAAGAATATATCTTTTGAGTAATATCAGTACAGGTATTGTATAGGATAACGTGTACAGCATAGGATCCCATGTAATATGTGTGTGTAAAGTATCAGGTCTCTAACTGTTTCCACGGGAACTTAGAACACAGGATATTCATGGTGGTAACTCGGAACACGGCAGTAATGGTGGCAACCTAATACACAGCAGAGTCATGGTTTAGATTCAACACAAGAGGGTTCATGATGGCAATTTATGGTACATGGGAACAATAAGGTCAGAGTCATAACCTAGACTGACCTGCCCCGCCAGTAATGACCTTGGACAGACACAGCCACGCCCAGCAGTGGTTGATGGCCTCGTACTGTACGTCGCTCTCATCAAACTCTAATTACAATTATCGACTCAGTAATTTAAGGCGAGCGTCTACTAGTACATGCAGTGACCGTAGAGGTGTGAGGCCATCCAGAGTGGCACAGGAGGTATTGGCAAAGAATCTATAAATATCGTGCTCTGATTGGTCCTCGTAAGCCCTCCCTTCCTCTCTGCCCCCTCCCTCATCCCTAAAAAAGACGAAATCCCTCACACACACACACACACACAAAACGGTACCACACAAGGGTAGGCAGTTCCCTCACACTCCCTACCGTGAAGCAGAGGGGGTAAGGCATCCATTTATCACAGTTCAAGGATAAATGAGGGAAAACTAGCCAGGGAGGAGCACCACAATGGGTCATCAAAAGGAAAGGTCAGGTTAGGTCAGTAAGGTTTCAATGGGTTGGAGGTGATGTTTTGTTTTTCCAACGAGGGATGATTAATTTTAGTTGTTGGAGGTCGTTAGTGTTGGAGTTTGTTGTTGTTGTTGTGAGTTGTGGTTGTTGAAGGAGGTAGTTAAGGATTTGATTTTAAGGTAGAGATTATTGATAGGATATGAGCGCATTAACGAATCGATTGTTATTTACCTAGACCTAACCTAACCTAACCTAATACTGTACTGTAAGCTGACTCACTCCATGATGAAGCGTTCATTAATATTCATAATTGATATTAAAGGACTGGGAGTGTCATGCACGTGTCATGGACGATTTAGATCAGAAAATAGATTAAAAGTTGGATACAGATTAAGGTAATGTATTAAATGTCGTGCCAGATTTATACAGATTTCAGAAGTATATTTGAATGAAAAAGAAATAAAAATAATAATCCCCGAAATCTTGTATCATGCAAGACAGTGACTACAACGAAGGAGTTAAGTGGAACAATCGCTTCGAGGGAGTGTTGGAGTGAGAGGTGTGTACAGTACAGTTGTCCCAAGTATGACCTCGCGTGTGTGTGTGTGTGTGTGTGTGTGTGTGTGTGTGCGCGTGTATTTCTTCACAAACACAAGATAAACTTAATATGTGAAATAAATTACATAAATATTTATTATTATTTCAATTATCTTGTCCTAACTTAATCTAGTGATACACGCTCTTTGATATTTAAGAGGGTTAGGTTAGGTTAAGTTCCTGGAATAGTTAATTGCTGGATTAGGAAGTTTCTGAAAATAGGGAATGTGTGGAATAGAGATTTTGTTTAGATCTGCCTCTGTAAAGCTCTAAGTCCATCTGTCTCTCCATAGCCAACAGTAAATGATATATGTACTGTGTGAATGTACTATGCTAACCCTTATTAAAATACTGTCCTCAGCATAGAGGTATACAATCAGTAGTAAATAATAAGTCGAATGGATCAAGAAGTTATGTAATGAAACACTAATCACAGTACTGCTTACCCCTCATTCCCCACCTCTCCCATTCCCTATCTCCCTCATTCCCTATCTCCCTCCCTACCTCACTCATTCCCTCCCTCACTCCGTACCTCCCCCATTCCCTCCCTCACTCCCTCCTCCCCCCCAGCAAGCTCTTCTTTATTGATTGTCCGTAAGTCGTTTTTTACCACACGCGGGATCATTTCAAATCTCGCGCCAAAACTGTTCCATCCCCTCCCCACCATCACTTTATCATTACACACAATGGCGGGAAATGATCCAATTATACGGTGAGGGAATCCTTTTGTCCAACAGTGTACGCCTGTTACAACAACCGCTTTAAAGGGCCAGCTAACTGCTCTCCTGTTTATTTGCGGGAGCTTCCGTTAGCTAGCAGGGTTAGGGATGGTGTGTGTAAAGAGGGAGGACGTTTCTGTTATGATGTATAAACGGTGGTGTTATTTTGTGTTTTTTACTGTTGTTACTTGTAAACAGATAACGTTGTTTTATACACAAGAGCTTCCGTTACTTGTGGTTTATCTAGGGGCTTCCGTTGTTTGTAGACGTTGCTATAGTGATGACTGTTGATTCCTTGCAAACAGATGATAACGCAAGTATCCTGTATTAAGATTTTTCACGGCACATCCATTACTAACAGTATCGTGGTCTCTCCATTAGTAACAGATGTGAGGCTCTTCGTTGATAGCAGAGACACCCTTCCTCCGTTACTAACAGTAATGTATACGTCCTTCCTCCGTTGCTAACAGTAGTGCAGAAGGCGTTCCGTTATGATTTTTCTTTCTGTGTATCCGAACAGGAGATTCCGCTATGAAAACACTCACTACAGACCAACTATTTCCGTGTGTGTGTGTGTGTGTGTGTGTGTGTGTGTGTATCAGAGCGAGTATACCCATATGTGTACATGTCTTTCATTTTTTGTGAACATGTTCATTTATCAAAATGTGTGTGTCTGTCTA